TTTTAATAACTGTTGTAATATTTTGTTGAAATTTGTTGGCTGGATCGCTTCACTTTTTCAATCACCGAATATATGGTGTCTTGAGTTTTGATAGCCCGTTGTATGAAAAAATATTGTAATTATCAGAATTTCGTGAACAAAAATCGCTGAGTAATAGTACGTAGATATTCTAAATTGATGCGAAAAATTATCGCCCGTCCTACAGACGCTCCTCTGGTAAGAAGATCTAATCTTAACTATTACTTGGTGGGGATTCGTGCATAATAATAATTTGACATAAACAATATTCTTATCGAATTCGGACTAAATAGGTCTATATTCCGGATCCCATCTTGTAAAAAGCTTTTAATGAAAAATGACTTCGTATATTGCAGGGACATCCATTTTTTTATATTTTATGATAAAAATTGTTGCGTAAGGGTAATTTGATATAAAATAGGTCTTTTACATAGATCCAAACATTTCTCATGAAAAGCAAACACTTCTAAGGGGATAAAGTTCAACTTATAACTATCTATGATGGAAGTAAGTAGTAGTTATTAAAGCCTTTGAGAAGTGAATTGAGTTTGCTAAATTTGGACTACGTTAATCGACGTTTTGAGCGTCCTCCACTATGAGTGCTATCATAAAAATTGCGCTTTCATGAAAATGAATGAATGCTTGCATTAAACGAAGTGATGCAAGGTGTCTAATTGCCGACCTTCTGCCACTGTAGTGTTCTTGTTAATGTTTTTTTATTTGGTTAGCAATTCGGGGTATATGCTCTATATATGCGAGGACACAGTGTTGGTCAGAAAGGATTGCAAATAGAGAAGGAGGAGAGAGTCGATTGATTTCGCTCTACGAAATATGAGTTAAACTAAGCATATAAGCGATGACAAGAAGTAAGCGATTGTGTCAATATTGAACAGCAATAATTGAGTTACTTCGCTTATTAAATGAACTGCTTAAATCGATCTACTTTGTTTCATCTTATGTGAAGAATTAAGAAAAGTTGAATACAAAATTTAGTGCATTAAATCACGCTGTGTGTAATATAATCCGAAGTATAGCTGGCGTAAGCATTTACTTTTATTAATCGCGTTTGAAATGCTTTTACATTTACTGTAAACACTTACTTTGTATGTTGCTTGTCAACAAGACACTTTACTGGACTGGTATCAGTAATTATCCCCCAAATTAATTATTAGAATTTCACTTACGAAATGGAAGCTTAACTGAGTTAAGTTACGCATGCATACATCCTTAAGGTAAAGAAGAAATTAATACATGCCATTGTGAAGGTACTTAAGGGGAAACCCATTGTAAATTTTCCATAAAAAATATTTTTTTTATTGGTTTTGGGCTTCCTAAAGGATATAAGGAATCAAATTTATTTAAAAAAAAAAAAATGAAATAAAACCTTGCTCAGAAGTCACAGTTTAGCGCTCCGCCTGCTGAATTTTAACTTCTCTAACGCATTAATCGCTCGTGCATATTTAAGAGCTTTTTCGAATAAAAATGTGTTGACGTAGCCTCCCGAAAAGACAGGTAAAGGGAAATGAAGTTGATAGTGATTCCTAAGATGAAAGTTCTGCTACCAAGAAATTAAAATTGTTGGGTTAAGTTTTTGATGTTAGTTAGGTATTCGGCTATAGGATTATGAAAAATTTCGATTTTGTCTTTGCAAATGCAAAAGCTACAAAAGCGATATTTTCTGACATAGAACCTTAAAGGAAGGAGAACGTGTTTAAAGTTTTGAAAGTTGTTTGAGAGGTGTTTTTCAATCGTAACAAATTTTACCCACCAGCCAAGTTCAAATATTCATCCCCGTTCTCCTTGAAACACGATTTTTGAAAATAATTTCCGGTATAACTCCGATCATTTTCATTCTGTTCTTTCCAAACTTTTAAGAAATCTTTAAAATAACATTCTCTTGATCTGAACATTTTTTGAAACTGTCTGAAAGACATATATTCGCTGATCATGTGAAAACCTATATATTTAAAACTTCTACGTCTTCGACTAACTACAGACATGTAAATAAAATTAAAGAACGCACCCCTTAAATTGTTAACTCCTTGCGAGAATGTTTCCGGTGTTGCGATTTTTTATTACTTTTCAGAAATAAATTTTTTCAATACATATACGCCTAACAACTTTGCTAACTATTGTGAATTCATTACCGTTTCTTTTATCCCAAAAAAATTGTCTGAGAACAATTCGTTTTTAACTTATAGGAGGCTTACTCTCTCAAATCTGACAATCGCTCAAAAATTGATATATTGAGCACCAAATCATTTTTGGATTGAGTATGCAGATGATTTCCACGAACCTTTAGATAGAATGTTTTTGGATAAATTTTTGCGGGATCGAAAGTTATAGACTAAATGTGTTTATTTTTTTTTGTTTTTTGTGAGGCTGCTTCAGGTTTTAATTTGCTGTGGGCCTGTATATGGGCAGGGAAAGTTTGTGTCAAATTTCGCCCCATCTTCATTTTTATAACCTTGGCTATGCCACAAATTATGGCATTTTAGACCCTTATGGTGGAAATAGGTGTATGCAAAACGTCTGCACTTCTAGTATTAACATGAAGGCATTCCTACTCGACCTAGAAAACTGTTATTGCGCAGAGAAAGATTAGCAATCTAAATTTAGATAGTCGTAGGAAGAAAATTTCAAAACATCATGAATGAAGGAGTAAATGTAAGCTCTAAACAAGAGTGTAATGCGGTCGCCAGTACTGTACGTTTTCTTTATCATACCAGTAAGACGCCTATAAATTTAAGAGAGTATTAGGTTAAGTTCTTTCATGTACAAGTATAATAAGGAATGCGGAAGTAGTTCTTGACTACGATAAAGCAGTGAGCAATATAAGCAAAAGCAACGGAATAGACGCATCATATACCCGGATAAAAAAGTACTATAGGAAAATATCTGTGTGTATTTTTTGTGTATATTAAATAAAATATATATTTTTTTTTAATATTTCAATTTTAATATTTATCCCTTTTATAATTTTGTTGGCAGTTTTTAAATTTTCAATAATTGCGATACGTTTTGCAGCAATGAATTATTAATACATTTTTTAATAAAAATGATATTTTATTCACTTTATATTGAGTTTTGTGTAAAATTTATTAAACGACCAATTATTGGTGTTGCTTTCGACATATACACACGTCGTCGTCTGATTTTAATTACGTAGTGTGTAAAATATGTGGAAATAAGCCCCAACGGTAATAGCGTACTTTGTGTCATTCCTTTGTCAACGTTCAGAAGGATTCATGAAAGACTTCGCTCATCATGCAAATGGTCTGTCGCGGCTGCCTATTCACTTTGTAGAAAGCTATGAAGTTACTTTGGTAATTTTATTTTCCGCTTTGTCAATGAAATTTCATTTTCAATTCATTTAAGAAAATTTCAATCGAACATAAAGACTTACATTTAGTTTTATAAAAAAATTTAATAGAAAAGTTTATATAGTCGTTTGTTCGTTGCTGGTTTGCTTTTAAGCGGTAAATATTGACGTAACTAAACAATTGGAGCCCGCTATATATTTACTCGCTCAGATAAAATTTGAAAAATTGCACCGTAATTGGACCGCATACTTAAACGTATTAGTGTATATAAACAGGTAACACATTGTTTAACGATGATATACAAGTGTCCCTCGCATAACGCGGAATGTGTAAAACAAACTTTAGGTACAACACAATATAAAATTTGCGGCAATTATAATGCCGGTTTCGATTCAGCAAGATTTCAAAAAGTCAAGTATGTATGCAACTACATCAAATACCTTTCCCAACGATGGAAATATAACTAACTGAGGAGGAGTTTCAATCAATTTTGAGAAAGGATTCCAGTGAGTCACGGCCTTCCCTTAAATACTTTACGCCATCCTACAGTTATTCATCAGATTAGAAGTGTTTGAAGAAGTCGTCTGATATGAATCACTTTTAATACCGTTCGTCTCTGGGATAAAACCCAATGCCAGTGCAAAATTTGGCATCTGTAGGTTGGACGCAAAACATGAACAGACATGAACAGACGTCAGACAGACAAGCTTAGATCGATTAAGAAAATGATTCTAATGAGATCGGTCTAATAAAAGATGGCTCTATCTTAAGCCCTTCTGAGTGTTACGTACGTGCGCTTAATGTATCTAGTACCAGTAATCCAGCAAGCAACCCGGACAGACAAGCTTAAGTTTAGAAAATGATTCTAAATCGATCGGTGTAAAGAAAGGCGGGTGCTTCAGGATGTTGCATACATCCGCACAAACTTAATCCGCCACTATGGTACATGTGGTCTTAGATACAAAAAACAGATTAGCTGTAAATTTTGATCGAAATTAATTTTATGTAGCGATCTACGTTCATCTCATTTATATGTACATTTCGAACGAAATTTAATAATAAAATTTTTATTGTAAAATTTTAAGCCTGAAGATTTGGTTTCGATACAAGACAGTATACATTGCCCAGATTTATATTATTTGAGGGCAACGACGCAGTATAAAATGCTTGATTAGTAATTAATGACGTCTAAGTTTAGATTGTGTTATTCCATATGTCGTTTTAGTTGATACAAAATAAACGATAAAGTTTCGTATAAGTCAATTTCGATAAAGTACACTACGAACTGACCGTGTTATACGAGCGATGCCTATGCGAGATTTTTGTAAAAGGCTTGCTCGCAAGTAACATGCTCTTACGGTGTACTGTGTTAAAACACACAGTCTTTATAGGTTGAATAAGTAGCTGGTTAATATAAACTCACTCTAATCATCATAGGAGTCCTCCAATACGCCAAATTTTATTTAATTTGCATTAAAAAGTCTCTCAATTAAGTTAATTTGAAAGTTTAAACATGTTCGGGCGTATGTATGTATGCATGATGGGCTTAATTCTGATTGATGAAAGACGACAGTAAACACAACTGACTTTGAAATGAAAAGAAAAAACTAAATAGTTCTATAGACGATGTGTACGTTACATATATGTGTATGGAGAGAGAGAAAGAGAGAGTTAAATGCTACAGCAGCAATAAAATCATTGCACATGAATAAATCAATAAAGTGAAAAGGAGAGATTTATGTGATGTGAGGTATATTTGATTTAAATATTTGAACTGATTTTATAAATCAATAAAAGTTGATGAACGCACATACATAAACGTTCGGTTGTAAGAGAGTCTTTAAATAAATGTATTTAATACTAGTCTAGAAAGGTATAAGTGTCGATAAACCATTTAGAATACGTATACAAATGGGAAAAGTGCGTATAGTATATCACAACTGTTTGTGAGAAAACAGAGTTTATATATATATATATATATATATATATATATATGAAATAATAAAAATATATAATTTATGAATGAATTAATGTTTACTAATAGCATTTATTGGAAATCCGGCAATAATATGCTATAATTTTGTACATATTCAAAATAGAATTATTTACGCTCTATATAAAGGGAATTAATGGCATATTTGATAACTACGATACGAACTAAGCATTATTACTAAATATAACGAAAACTGAAATATAAGTATTTGTTTGCTATATAGAAATATATAATTACAACTACACATATATATATATATATACAAAATTAGCCCCTCATTTAGTAGTTATGAGTTTGTATTGTTTGGTTAATTAGAAATAGTTTTTCTCTACCAATTTCATGATTTTAATAAGTTTATTATATAACAAGTCCCGAGCATTGATACCCCAAACAAAATCTAAATGATTAAATTTTGGATAATTGACTTTAAATTTACCCAAGGCATTGGGTAAACGTTGATGTAATCGCTCGACATCTTGCGGTGTCGCCAGCCAATCATTAAGTGCATAATGTAAAGCCACTCGACATTTGGTATTTTCTATTTCGTAATTTGGAGGTGTACTCGATTGGTAACGCCAATGATTCCGTATCCAGCCATAATCGTATTGACGAAAGTAACCACTTTTTTTCAATTGTCCAAAGTGTTGCATTTGTTTGGTTGAAGCGCCAGCAGGAGCATGGCCCAAAGCTACAGGTAACATAGTCTATGCATAAAAAAATTTCCATCAATTAATGAAATGAACATTTTCGAAAGTCCCTCATACCTCATTCATTTGATTCTTATCGAAGCCGGCCACGAGGAACATAACATTTGAACATATCGCTTCAGTAATGGAATCATCATCGCATATGATTTGATTAAACATTTTCAAAAACTCATTGCTTGGTAAAAATTCATGAGCACCAATTAATTTTAATAGAATCTATGATACGAAATTTTATATAAAAATATTTCATTGAATTACTTCGATTAATATCGATTTACCCCTAAAGGTTCTTCAAAGAATGCTAAAAATGAGACTACAGGACTCTTAGCATGTTCTAAATAAGCCACCGGAGCCAAAGCTTGCATAAGTAGGACTTTTTCACTAGACTCAGGACGTTCGCTACACATTATCCAAAAGATGGCAGTGCCTTGGGAATGTCCTATATAATGCAATTGTTGTCGTTTAGTTTGTTGCAATATATAATCAATAATTGCCGGTATATCGTATAAGCCCATTTCATGAAAGCTGAATTCCCAGAATATTGGCTGTTTGGTATTGTATTTCGTATGATTACGTGAATAAGTATTTCCGCGCACATTTGCCATCCATACATCATAGCCCTCGTCATGAAGTAAATAACCTTAAATCGAAAAGCTTTATTAATAAATGAAATAAAATTTTCTTAAAAGAATTTACGGACATTTCTGCGGACATTTGCACTAAACGAGTAAGAAATCTATGATAAAAAAAATTTTCTTAAATTTTTAACTTATTTTCATAGGAAGTTAATTTCTTTCGCATTCATCAAGTCAGGGCTTTTCAATCACTTAGAAAAGGCAATATATCTAAGACTTAAATGTCTAGTTTTTATGGCTAGCTGTGTTTAAGGACTATGGACTTAATTATGAAATCAGTTGCGCTGAATTTTCTATCTCTGATTATTATTCTGTAGTGAAGAGTATTTTGAAAGTCTTCATCCATTTTTTATTTTTGTTTGTGTCTTTGACTTAACTTCTCCCGCATTACAAAGTTGATGGATCACCAATGCATAATATGCACAACCGCTAAGTGCTATGTCTGAAGAATAACATATTTAACGCAACATATTCAAAAAGTAATTTAGTTAATGATAACTCAAACTCAAATACTAACAATATTATGTACGCAGATCAAAACTGTATCATGCGTATATGAAATTGTATGCTTCTACACTTTCTGGCGCTAGAAATGCGGGTATTTTAAATCCACAATAAGTCAACAATAAAAATTGTTTACGAAGAATACAAGCAAGAATATGATTTTCGATAGTGACCGAATCTTTTACACCCTTTACAGTTAGCCTAAAAAGGACTAAAAAGAAGGAAGAGAACTAAATTTTTATACTTTATAATACAGGATGGGCGCGGCTGTGTTTTTTTTTTTCCCATTTTTCGAATAGGAGAATGTTTGCTACGGACGGATGGACGGACGGATGAATAGACGGATGATTTGAAGGACAGAGTGTTTCTAACAGACCTAAGACACAGGGACAGATGGATATGCTTAAATCGATCCATAATTTGATGCTTATAAGAAACATTTATACTTCATAAGGGGTCCTCCTGGATGTTGCAAACACTTTGACAAATGACTTTCATCCTTCGATGAAGATTATATATATAAATATCGCTTATATCTTACTAAAGTTCACATTCACATTTTCTTACCCAAACCCTTTTCGGGTCCCATTTGAATCCATGTAGCTGAACTATCCAATAATCCATGCACTAACAAAACCGGTATACAGTTTGAACGAGCAATGCGATGCAATTGCAATATGTAGCCATCTTCGGTTTGAACATAATGCACTTCAGAAGGGTAACCGTATTTTTTCACCAAATCCGGCTATGAATATAAAGAAAGAGTGGTGCACGTATTATATAAATTCTTTTTATTTGTAAAAAAAATTGATTGCCGATGCAAACCGCGCTTAATAATGCATCCTCGACAACATCGGGATCAAGGTCGAATTCTTTAGATTTTGCATCAAAAAAATTGTATCCATTAGTAGTGGGAGTAACGGGATCATTTGAAAAAGAAAATCCAAATGTCGGAATATTAAATAAATGATAATTTCCGACTTTAATTGACCAGGTATTTGAATCATTTTCAGTATTCACACACTCAATACCGTAGAAGAAAAAACATTTAAAGCTTAGAAAAATAAAAATTTTTTTAAGCGCAGCTTGCTTATGAGCGTAATAAGTCATGATAACAGTGCGATGTATAAATAACAACTGAGAATAAAAGTTTATTCTTCAATGTAATTCTATACTGTATGTGAATGGGGAGAAAATAAATTCATATCCAGCACTAAAGAGTTGAAGTAAACTAATTTTGTTATCATATTCGACCTTGATTACCGTTAAGTTCTTAATGGATATAAGTTATGTTTCTTTTCTTTCTTTTTTCCATCTCAATATTTAAAAGGTTAACGAGTTTCTTGGGAAAGTATTGCCTCCAAAAGGTAATATCATCTTATCTCGTGCTATGGTCGACTTTCGAGCAAAGTTCGAAATCGATGTAACTTTTTCGGAAAAAACTCGATACCTTCTAAAGTTTGACTTGTATGTTAAGAATATTTTTGGTTTAGTGTACTAAGAGGAAACTTTTAATAGGTATGCTCTAAGAAGTTTCGTTCTCGTTCTCGTTCTCGTTTTCGTTTTCATTTTTTTTTTTTTTATCATTTAATATTTAAAAAAAAAATGATCCTATTTTTAATAGACGCAAGGTGGTATCGCTTTCTAAACATGATATCGATCGAAATCGATTAATCCACTAACTGTTAGGTTATAAATATTAAAAACTATCAAAAGGTCTATGGTTTAAAGACTTAAAGATTCTCAATCGTTTAAAATTTCCCAGAGACATTTTCAAGTTCATTGCAGAAGTACTGTTGAGTGATACGAGTTCGCCTTATGATGGTTGCAATCTTTTTATATTTGTTTAAAAATTAATTTAAACAATTTACTAAAAATTCTGGCGTATATATGTACATGTGTTTATGTACACAATCGCATTTGTGTTGTGCGTTTCTGTTTGATGTATTTCTTGTAAGTTTTTTCTTTGCTCATATCGTAAATCGCAAATGTGATAATGATAACCTTTGAGAGAATGGTATGAGTGTTTATGCTATACATGGGCACCGAACAATGGACGGCAGTTTAAAGAGAGAAACAGCTGATAAATTTCATAGAATTCATAATATGGGGGTCCAAGGCTTATCACCAAGCAATGACGCACTCACTTGCAACTTTGATGTTTCTATATCTGTTAGACGAGAAACGATCATGTGAATGCTTGATCACTTCATTTGCAACGTATAGTAATAAATATATAAATATATTTTGATTAGCATAACATTTTTATTTGGCTTAGTGACTTTCCTCTATTCGATGTCTTTGCTTCCTTAACCGTGCCACAAGTTGCGATTGGCAGCTAAAATAGATCGGTTTAGCCTTTCTTTGCCTTTGTTTTTCTTTTTATACTCTACACCACTTGTAGCGCAGGGTATACTAAGTTCGTGTGAACGTATATAACATCCAGAACGATTTAAGGAGACCAGCATTTTTTTATAGCAATCGATTCAGAAAATGATTCTGAATATGATCTAAGGTTATCTGTCCGTCTGTCTGCCTGATGTCTGCCCAAGTGAGCACGTGTTCAAGCTACGGGTCACAATTTTTGAAAGAATTTGATAAAATTCGATAATTGATGAATTTGGTATCGCTCCACTTTTTCGACCACTCTCCATATAACGCATTGTTTTGAAAAGTCGTTATATAAAAAAAATCGCAATTTTCAAAATTTTGCGGCAAAAGTGATTCAATTAATTGTATTTCCGCTTTCTAAACTGATATGAAAATTTGGATCGTCGGTGGCAATTTTTTGAATCCTTTCTTATATCACTAAAAGTGAAGTTCGTATGACGAATTTTTTTGGACTCTACCCTCTATAAGAAAGACATAATTTTTAATATAAAATTCTAAAATAGTGAGTTCATATAAAACAGGGTATAATTTTTGTGGTTTGTGGCATAGATAAGAATTCAACTGTACAACGCGACGAGTGATATTTAAAAGTCGGCCTAGCTCGACTCACTTGTGTTTTTTTTTTTTTTTGCAGGATCAATATTATATATAAACTATTGTAATATGCAAAAATAGTTCTCAGCGACTCGCCCTCATGACCATGCTTAACGAAAAAAGGAGTGAGGTTGTGTGAGATTAGAGATTACTTTTCCCAAAGTTGCTTGTTTTTTGCTTATCGCAGAAATATGTTAGATGTATAAAGATCTTCATAAAGATCTTGTAAGGTACATATATATTAGTAAGCAGCAGGATCGTTTCAATTAAAGCGACCGATCCATCTGTGCGTACATTTGTTGAGTTCGCATGTAAGATTACAAAACCTTTTCCAATGCAGTCTGGTGCCTTAAATGAGCACATTAGTCTCATTCACAATAAAACAGGATTTTAAAAGATTTTACTTAGACTTTACTACATGTACACTTGCTTGTGTCCCTTCAATCTGTTTATTATTCTATTGTTTTTGAAATTTATTCTATTGCTCTTCGGGTATATTGTGTTTACAGTATAGGCTCTGTTTCAGAAATTGTTTGTATGCGGCGGTATGTTCTTGTGTGATTCCTCTAAAACTTTAAAACACAGAGTAGAATAATTGATAGAGTGTTACATTTTCAATGTAATCTTCGGTGAAGTATAACAACAACGAACACACGGCAAGTAGAGTGTATCAATAATTCGGTTAAAGCTAAAAAA